TCTCACTCTCTCACTGTCTCATTCTCACTCACTCCCTGTCTCACTCTCATTCACTGACACACTCTCACTCTCTCACTGTCTCATTCTCACTCACTGTCTCTCTCTCTCACTCACTGCCTCACTCAATGACCCACTCACTCACTGTCTCAGTCACTCCGTGTCTCACTCACTGCCTCACTGTCTCACTCGCTCACTGTCTCACTCTCATTCACTGACATACTCTCACTCTCTCACTGTCTCATTCTCACTCACTCCCTGTCTCACTCTCATTCACTGACACACTCTCACTCTTTCACTGTCTCATTCTCACTCACTGTCTCTCTCTCTCACTCACTGTCTCTCTCTCTCACTCACTGCCTCACTCAATGACTCACTCACTCACTATCTCAGTCACTCCGTGTCTCACTCGCTCACTGACTCACTTGCTCTCTGTCTCACTCACTCACTCACTCACTGCCTCACTCTCTCACTCACTCACTGCTTCACTATCTCATTAGCTCACTCTCACTGTCTCACTTGCTCACTGCCTCACTAGCTCATTGACTCACTCCTCACTGATTCACTTGCTCGTTGTCTCACTCTCTCACTGTCTCACTCACTCCCTGTCTCACTCTCACTCACTGCCTCACTCACTCACTCCCTGTCTCACTCTCACTCACTCACTGCCTCATTCACTCACTCCCTGTCTCACTCTCACTCACTGCCTCATTCACTGTCTCACTCTCTCAAAAAAAAATTTAAAAAAGAAAGAAAAAAAAACAAACTGCTGTTTGCACATAAGAATTTTTTTTAAGTCTTTGTATGTTTTCTCCATTTAAGTGTGCCCTTTCTGAAAGGCAAGAAGCAGGTGGGTAAGTGCCTAGTACTGTGTATTTGGGGGTGGGGTGGGAAAGAGGAGGCTTTCTATTCTTGTAAAGAGTTAGTCTCAAAAACGCACATGCGCAGTATCTATCTTATAGGGTTGCTATGAGTCAGCATCCTCTAGGTGGAAGTGAGTTTGTTTTATTTAGTACAGTGTATTTTGATGGAATGCCATTCAGTTGAATATTACTGTAATTCCAATGCTCCCCGGCAGCATACGTGCAGCTTACTTTTATACTCCCATTTAGTCATAAGGAGCCCTGGGCTGCTAGCCCAAAGGTTGGTGCTTTAAACCCATCAGCTGCTCTGCGAAAGGAAGTTGAGGCAGTCTACTTCTGTCAAGATTGACGGACTGATAAACCCGAGGGTCTGTCTTACAGGGTTGCTATGAGTTAGAATTGACTGATGGCAGTGGTGGTGGCAGCGGTGTTTTTAGTTTGTTTGTTTTTTTAATTTATATTTTTTATATCCTATTGTCTCTTACGAGTGAAAAATGTAAAAAAAATTCATTTTAATGGGGGCTCTTACAGCTTTTATAACATTCCATAGATCAGTTGTATCAATATATTTGTACATATGCTGCATCATCATTTTCAAAACATTTACTTTCTATATGAACTCTTGGTATCAACTCCTTTTTTCCCTTCCTCCACCCGCTCCTACACTCGTGACCCCTTGACAAATTATAAATGATTGTTTTTATAGCTTACACCGACCGCTGTCTCCCTTCACCCATGTTTCTGTTCATCCCCCTGGGGCTGGGGGTAGTGAAAAACTTTTGAAGGCAGAGTATCTATCTTAATGTTTAAAACTTTCCAACTCCCATCCTCATATAATATGCTATATTGTGGCAGATTATTAGATAGCCTTTAAAGAATAAAGTATTAAAGAAATAATGGTTTAAATGTATCGAAGAACAGGAACAGTTTAAAGGAATATTCATGTTACATTGCAATAAATGAGAATTTTAAGAGGAGTGTATTTTTTTTTTCTTGTCAGCGGAGTTGCCAGCTGATCCTGTTAAAGAAAATTACGTTTGTAAAGTGAACAGCTGTGTTTTTTCTGTTGCCTTCCCTACTCCTTTCAAATCAAGAGTACGTCTTGTAGCCGTTTCAAAGGTTAGGCTTTATTTTTTTTCACAGTGCAAATACTTAACTTATTACAACCTTTGTGTAGAAAATATTCAAGTTTTTTTTCAGCGTGAGTGTGGTCATTCTGTTGAGAAATGATATATGTACAAAATTCAGATTCTTGGAAACTGTCAGTCTCAGGCCATCTTTGATACTCACACCTGGAGCGTAGCCCTCAGTTTCATCTTCACGTTACCAGGGAAACCACTTCGGTCTAAAAAGGAACAAATGTGTTAAGTTCTCATTGTAGGTAACTTCTAGGCTTGTTTTTTTTGTTCTGAAAATATGGCAGCAAAGAAATTTACTCAACTTGATTTAACTAAATTTTAGTTCAATATGTTTATTTTCTAAACATATTTTAATATATATATATATATAAACTTTAGTTTTTGTTTGTGGGTTTCTTAGAAGTAACTTTAAATGCTTTTCTAAACCATGAAACAGCTTGGAAACATCTCGGCTACACGATCTTTTTTATTTTTTATTTTTTAGGCTACATGATCTTTATAATTTTTTTCAGCTCTCAAATGCAGGGATTTCATGGTTCAATAAGCCATCACCCATAAGGGTTTAATTTATTGGAAGGCATTTTATGTCATAATTCAAATTTACTGTTAAGTCATAAATGCAAACCTTGGGTTTGCAAAACAATTGTAAGCCCTTTTTGGGTAGGTTTGTTTTATGTCAGGAGCTAGAATGGTGAATGAGGCCTATTCCCTTATCTCAAATTGCTAATGCCCTAATGAACCAGTTGCCATCTCGTCCAACTCTTGGTGATTCCACGTGTCTCATTGTAGAAATGTGCTCCATAGGGTTTTCAGCACGTTGATTTTTTTTTCTTGAAGTAGATCACTGAGCTTTTCTTCTGAGGTACCTCTGAGTGGATTCAACTGCCAACCTTTAGATTAGAACTCAATGCATTAATCATTTCTACCACCCAGGGACTCCCAAGCCCAAGGGAAGGAGATAGGTAAATTACAAAGTCCCATGATTATCAGGGTTATGATAGGGGTAACTATAGGAGCTATGGGAACTGAGGACCACCCTTCTCAGTCCCAGGAACTCAGAAAAGACTTTCTGGTGGCAATAATATCTATGTTGAGAATGAAAGTACATCTCAGTTAGGAAACAATCATTGGTAATAATAATAACCATCTGTAGGTCAGGCAGAGGACAAGGCATTTTACATATGTCGGTTAGCACTTACTGCTCCAAACATATGGTAAGGATGGACTATCTCCGTTAACAGAAATAAAAACCCAGTTTTAGTGATACTAAGTAATTCAAACAAATTTCCATCGCTTCTATGTGGCATAGCTGAGATTTGAATAACAGCAAACAAATTTTAACAGAAAAGTTTGGAACAAGTATAAGTATGAATATATTCATGATTTTATATTGTGTATGTATAATGAGCCCGGGGGTGGGGTATCATATTAATCACTTTCCCTTTTCCCCTTTAGTTTGGAAAATGGGCAGATCAACTTGGGGATGGAGGAGCTCACCTTATTGGCATTTATCTGAACAGGTACCACGGGTTTTCTTTTCTTTTTTTTTTTTAACATTTTATTAGGGGCTCATACAACTGTTATCCCAATCCATACACACATCAATTGTGTAAAGCGCATTTGTACATCATTTCTCAAAACATTTTCTCTCCACTTAAACCCCCGACATTAGGTCCTTATTTTTCCCCTCCCTCCCCCCTCCCCCCTCCCAACTCCCTCATGAGCCCTTGATAGTTTATAAATGGGTATTTTGTCATATCTTGCCCTGTCCGACGTCTCCCTTTACCCACTTTTCGGTTGTCTGTCCCCCAAGGAGGAGGGCATACACAGTTCCATGTAATCGGTTCCCTCTTTCCTACCCATTCTCCCTTTACCCTCCCTGTTTTGCCACTCACACCACTGGTCCTGTAGGGCTCATCTGTCCTGGATTCCCTGTATTTTCAGTTCCTATCTGTACCAGTGTACCTCTTCTGGTCTAGCCAGACTTGCAAGATCGAATTCGAGTCATGGTGGTGGGAGCAGGGAGGAAACATTTAGGAACTAGAGGAAAGTTGTATTTCTCATCATTGTTACATCGCACCCTGACTGGCTCATCTCCTCCCCGAGACCCCTCTGCAAGGGGATCTCCAGTGGCCTACTAATGGGCTTTGGATCTCCACTCCACACTCCTCCCATCATTCACTATGGTGAGATTTTTTGTTCTGATGATGCCTTACACCTGATCCCTTCGACCACGGGTTTTCTTGGCTAAGTAGTAACCTGACTTTCCTCTGCTCTGTTTAATTGCAGTCATTTCTTTTGCTTTGCAGGCAGGGTGAAAAATGGGAGCTCCAGTTAAAAGGCTCAGGAAAGACCCCATACTCCCGGTACAGTTTGTTTTGTTCTGTCAGTTAACAAAACCATTGATAATGTCTTCATTACAAATGGACGTCTTTGATCGCTTTCCTGTAGAAATGGGGATGGCAGGGCTGTCCTTCGTTCTTCAGGGAGAGAATTGCTGTGCAGTGAGGCTCTGCACTACCTCGGAATTCCACCCAGCAGAGCTGCCAGGTAGTTTGTTTCTCCTTCCTCCACCCTCACTAACTGGATCATATTACCACCAGGAATGGCAATAGTGCATCGAGCATTAATAAAATTAACTTTTCTCTTTTCGGTAATTTCTCATAGTTTCAGGTACTTCTTGATAGCTGAGTGATTATAATAGACTGGTTCTTTAATTCCATTAGAATAGTGGCTCTGGATTATGGAAAAACGAGAGGTAGTGTGATTGTGTTGTGTTTATTAATGCCTTTATTTCTTTTTTTTGTCCTGACAATCAAACTTTATTGTATGCATGTCTAGCCTAAACACTTTAATGCCTTTATTTCATTTCATTTTTTTCCTTATATATTTTAATGATGAATTAATGGGAAAATTGTTAATTTTGTTGAAAGTTCATGAGCACCAAGGTTTTAGTGTCAGACAGAAATGCGTAGTAATTTCTTTCTGACTTTTTAAATTTCTCTAGAAATCCTACTCCCGCTGTTTGATTTCCTTTCAGTGCCTGCATCAGAGGGTCATGTCATAAGAGGAGCCAAAGCAGCTCTGGATAGTCAGAACCCTTCTGCCAGATTGCCTAGTGCCAACCTGTTTTCTGGCACTGCTTCTGTGTCTTCTTCCTCATCACCTGGCACTGGTTCTCAAAAAAAAAAAAATCCAATACACTTATTATTTATTGAAAAGCATCTGACTCTAAGTGGACCTGCTCAGTTCAAAGTCTTGTTCAAGGGTCAACTGCAATTGTATGTCATCTGGCAACTTCGTGTACAACAAATATCCCTTCTTGTAAAGCTTATATGAGATGCAACACGCTCAGCATGGTGTCTGAGTCAAAGTAATTAAGTAGTAGCTGTTCTTTTAGGAGCCCTGGTGATGCAGTGGTTTAAGTGCTCAGCTGCTAAGCAAAATGTTGGTGGTTCGAACCCACCGGCAACTCCATAGGATAAAGATGTGGCAGTCTATTTCTCTAAAGATCTATTTCCATTAAGCCATGGAAAAGCAAAATGGGTTGCTATGAGTGGGAATTGATTTGATGCCAGTGGTTTTGGTTTTAGTTTGTTATTATATTAGCAACTCCATGAAAATGGTGTTCTTGATATATATGTCTTTTTGTTAACTGATATATATATACATGTATATGTATATGTGTATATATATATATATATCAGCTAACTTAAAAAGAGTTAAAAGAGTATTACTACGAGGGTTCCAGTTTATACATGCGTGGGCTAGTTGCAAATAAGATGTATTTAAACACGTCTCTACAGTCGGGATGGCCGCAGACAAGATCCTTCTGTAATGTAATTGCTGAGTCTCATTTGGCTGGCTTAAAAAAAAAAAAGATACTTTTGTGTCATGGAAAAATTATATTGAAGGCAGGGCTAACATCACATTTTTAATGAAACTCATAAAGCAAGTTTATAGAAGCATCAAGTGTTTTAAGAAAAGTCAGGGAACAGTTGTATGAGCCCCTAATAAAATGTTAAAAAAAAAAAGAAAAGTCAGGGAGACCTCAAATATTGGTCAAGAGAGAAGGGGAAGAGTGCTGAGCTGAATGAATGAAGAAACTGTGGCTGACATCCAAGATGCTGGTGGAGGAAGACCCTGGGATGACCAATGATGCGAGAGCTACTGAAGCTCAGATCTCACATGGCTCGGCATTTCCATTTTAAGTTAGCATCTTGGCATCTGCAAGCATTGTGCGACCAGTCTTTTCAACAATACTGAAGCTAACAAAGACAACTTCATGGAATGAATCAAAACTGGGCAGGAGTCTTGGAGCTACCGATACAATCTAGAGAATAAGGTCCAATCAAAACAGTGTCTTCTGAGGGACCCTGCAGGGCTGGTTCAGTTCAAAGCAGAGAGGCCAGCTCAGAAGGCTACAGTGACTCCTTGGGTTGAAGGACACAGAATGACCATAGGGACTTGTTATGAACTTTTAAGAAAATTGCATTGGTGAGAAAAGAGGCAGGAAAGTTGCACCGAGGAATTTCCCTGCACAACCTTCTGCCAGAGTACTAGTGGCTGTCTGGAGAGAATTTCACTGGGAATCCGTATCCCCTTCCACACTACAGCTTGTCTTGTCCCTCCAGACTTCTTCTTGTTCCCCACACTCAAAGAGCTTTTCAAAGGAACACGATTTGAGTCCCTCAGGGATTCTGAAACTGCTGTTTTGACATAAAGTCACGAGCACAGGACTCTGGGAGGGTGATGAAGAGTGGATAACTGTGGCGGAAGGATTCGGTATAAATTGAAGAGTGCAGTAGTTTTCATGGGAAGGTTGGAGAGGAGATGGAAATGCCCCCTTTAGAAATGTATAGAGGACACGTTGAGTAACAATAGCTTCACAATTTGATATTTTCATTTACATAAGACAAGTTTATTTTATAGTTATACTTTTTAAACTGACACTAGCATATGTCTAGCTTTTAATACATATGTTTCTATGAATATTCTGGGAAGGCTAGAGTGTGTCATGCTCTTTTTATTACTCAAAGATTACATAGCATTATTTAGTGTTGAACTCTTTGAATTGAGATCATGACTATTCTCTTATTTTTAGTCTAGTTGTAAGTGATGATGATGTATGGAGAGATCCGCTTTATGATGGAAACATTGTGAAAGAACGAGGTAATAATTTTTTAAATATTTATATAAGTTCTTAAACTTGGACTGAGCTCTTAAAAATAGTAGATTAGACATCTTTGCAGTCTAATAAAAAATGAACCTGTGGTTCTTCAAGATGTAATTTCAGCGCTACAATATTCTAATAAAATATACTTTCTCATGTCCAAAGTATGCACAGTCACTGGTCTTAAGTAGCACACAATTTTCTTAAAGCATTGACAAACCTTATGCTATGGTTATGAGGTCAGGGCTAATAGCAAGGAACCACTGAATAATAAGGTATCAGAAGTCAGTGTACGGAATCGTTTCAGCTTTGTTGAGGAGGGGGAAACAGATCTCGTACAGAAAGCTGGGCAGGATTTCAGCAGGGGGAAGAGACAGTGGGTTGTTCAGAGCAGAGAAGGGCATCCACAGAGGCCCTGAAGTAGAAGCGACTGAGGTAGTCCGCAGAGTGCCAGGGCCAGCACACCAGAGGCCACTGCTCTGTGATGCACATCAAGTAAAGTCTAAAATGCATCGTAACATCTAAATACAAACGCAATGCTTCTTACAAGCAGCAACTGCATTTATGAATTGTGTTAAGAATGTCTGTAACCAAGAGAGAAGAAGCCAATAAAAGGCAAAAAACACACAATGATGGAGTTGTTTTATTTCTCCAGTTCAGTACATGCGTAAGTTAAAAATGATCTGAGCATTTCTTTTTAGAGGTTAATTTTGAATTAGCTACACTAGTGGAGGGCAACTGTAATATGATTCATGCTGAACAATTAGTTCACTACTTTCCGTCTGAGGGACCCAGGAGGAGGCACGGTCCCGAGGCAGTGGGGTCTGATGGTGGAAGGAAAGATTTACCTAGGTTGGGGCCTTGGTATTTCTGAAAGGGTTATGGCTTCTAATATTTGAATGGATTCAGGCAGAAAGCAATAGAAGAAAGCCCTTCACACTTTATAAAGCATGGATTCTTTGTTTTTCAGAGAAACTCCATTACTACACGTCTTTTTTTATAAAATAATTTTCTTTTAGGAAAGCACGTAGCTTACCGAATAGTTACATGCTAAAATAAAGCTTTCTCTTTAAGGTGCAGTAGTGCTGCGTATTGCAAAATCATGGTTCAGAATTGGATCACTAGAAATTTTGGCTCATTATGGGGAACTGGATTTACTAAGGTTAGAAATTTACATTTTTGTGACTAGGATAGGATGGACCTGTCTCATTTCTGTACTGTGAAGTTAAATGCTTTCTGTTTTCTTGTGAGGACAATGAAGAATTTTCAATTAAGAAATATTTTTGTGAACTGCTTTGTTCTTATCGAGGTGCCCTGGTGACTCTATGGTTAGGGATTTAGGTGAGCAGCTTGACCCCCACAGTTGCTCCTGGAGAGAAAGCTGTGGCCGTCTGCTTGTGTCCAGATTACTGCTTCCGAATCGGAAACCCTTCCCTCCAGGGGCAGAGCGAGTAGGAACTCCTGCAACATCAATGGTTTCATTTTTAGTATATGTGAGTAGATTGAGAAAAAGAAGTGTAAGGCCCAGTAGTCCCCTTTTCAGGGAATACTAGGGGAACTTGAAAAAGTTCATGGAAACACGGAATTAAAAGCTAATGGAATTTCTCCACAAGCTTTTTGAAATATCCTGGTTTAGACTGGTATGCAACCCCATTGTAGCTCATGGCCTCCATGCTGCTCAAGAGATCTAGTGCAAGTGACTGAAACACCCCCGTTCTTCAGACTCAAGAGCAGGGGTCCTCAAACTTTTTAAACAGGGGGCCAGTTCACTGTTCTTCAGACCCATTGGAGGGCTGGACTATAGTTTTAAAAAAAGCTATGAACAAATTCCTGTGCACACTGCACATACCTTATTTTGAAGTAAAAAAACAAATGGGGCAAAAACACCCGGCGGGCCGGATAAATGTCCTCGGCGGGCAGCATGTGGCCCGCGGGCCATAGTTAGAGGACACCTGCTCAAGAGAGTCAGAACTCTGGGATCTCTTGTGTTCGTCTTTGTCTCCTGTCTCTCCTCTACCTACCTGGATTCTCATTTTGCCATATGTTTCACACTGGTTGATATGGATGTGAAACTCAGCCCCTTCCATAGGAAGAAAGCAAAGAAAAAAATATGAACCGAGTACATCTTCCTGAAAATCTCTGTGGGGAGACAGAGGAAAGGCTGTTTCAAAGGAGCAAAAATAATAAATTTCCTCCTTTGTGGCATGCTGTGCAACTCTCACCTTTCTCTGATGGCTTGTTGTCTGCCTGCATTTGTGCTTACGAACGTCCATCTTACTTTTTCAGGAGCTCTGGTGGTGGATTAGTGACTTGGGATGCTAGCTGCAAGGTCAGGAGTTTGAAAACACCAGCGCTCTGTGGGAGAAAGACGGGCTCTCTGTCCCGGGTTCACAGTGTTGACAGTCTCAGAGACCCAGAAGGGCGTTCCTCCCCTTTCCTCTGGGGTGGCGATGACGTGACATTTACTCAGTGGGAGTGAGTGGTATTTCTTTAAACAAACACATCTCCTCATTTAAAAGTAGTTCTGTTTCTATTTGTTAAGGTAATACAGTTTTCAAGCATACAAGAAATTCGTTTACACAAACAATGAATCCCACATTGTCTATCAGTGTTGTAAGTCAAGATACCTAGTCCTTTAAGAGTCCTGGGGGTGGGGGGGGGGGAATGGAAGAAGCCAAGCAGAGAAGTCAGCACACTTGTTTGGAGCCCTTTCTAACTCTTCACTAAATGTTTAGGCTTCCAGGATTGTTGAGAACGCTCTCTGTTCTTACTTCTCACTTGCATTTTGATTCCCCAGGCCTCTGAAATTGTTCTGTTCAGTGGCCACATTTCAGCTATATATTTTTTGTCTCTCCGGCACTTGATGTGGACTGTTGTGGCTTTCTCCTTAGAGGGTCTCCACTGGCCAACATGACTTTGTTCTCACAGATGAAATATTTAAGTCTGCCTGATTCTATTCTAAGTAATCAGCTTCTTTAACCTTGCTTTCTGTTCCAAAGGATTCCATCTACACAGACTCTAGTCTACTCCTCTTAACTGGATTTCAATAATTCCTAAAGAGCACATCTACTTAATTTTCTTCTGGATGCCCTCTTCTCTGAAACAATCAACATCAGATAGTCAGTTCATCAGTCGTTGGTTAAAATAGGAAATAGGCCTGTCTGGATACGACAGGCTGGATGAACAATCTGGAGGAGAAAACAACGGGACTGACAGTTCCGGGGGGACATGGGAGAGGGG